GGAGCGATGGGGCCGAGCCTGCTGGGAGCCACCGTCCTCCTCTGCCTGGTGGGTGCCCTGCAGGCCTTCGCCATCGAGAAGAAAGGGGACGTGTTCAAGAAGACGGCGTGCCCCGCCTTCCTGACCTTCGAGAACGTCGCCTACCTGGCGGACATGACCTTCGAGCTGCCCTGCAAGTGCAAGCCCGAGGAGGTCTCCTCCGTCGTCTGGTACTTCCAGAAGAACCTGCGCGGCCGCGAGACCGCGGTGCTGACGGACTTCAACGGCACCGCGGTGCTGGACTCAAGCCACGTGCGCGCGGGCAGCGACCTCCTGAAGCGCTTCAGCATCCGCATGTTCAGCCTCATCGTGTTCCGGGCGCAGGGCAGGGACTCGGGGCACTACCTGTGCGGCTCCAAGGAAGGGCACCTCTTCTACGGCTACGACGTGGACGTGCAGCCCACGGAGCGCATCGCGGTGGCCTTCCTGGACAGCGGCCAGCACGTGCAGGACGACTACGCGGCCGAGGAGTTCAGCCTCTTCACCACCTTCTGGGACTGGAGCGGCTGCGACCGCTGCGGGGTGCGGGGGGAGCAGCGGCGCATCGGGCTGTGCTACGTGCAGAGCGCCCAGCTCAGCCCCCGCTACCGCACCTCGCTGCCCAACGTCACGTCCTGCGGCTCCCGGGCCGTGCCCGCGCGCTTCCCGCGCCTCCTGCGCCTCCGCAGCCCCGAGGTGGCCGTGAGGAGCTGCCTGGCGCCCTGCCCGCCCAGGGAGGAGCCCAAGGAGGGCGTCCGGTCCATCTCCAACATCGTCTACAGGTTCGGGGAGAAGCCCGACGTGCCCCGCGTGCCCATCCAGTACCACAGCCAGCCCTCCCGCACGGACCTGGTGATCGCCTGCCCGGGGGCCCGCCCGGAGCACACCGTGGGCTGGGACAAGGACTCGCTCCGGCTCTACCGCTCCCAGTACCTCGTGGGGGTCGGGAAGGGCATGAGGGTCTTCATCGACCACGGGAACCACCTGCACATCCTGCGGGTGCGCAGGAGAGACAGGGGCACCTACTTCTGCTGGAGGGACGGCCAGATGGTGGCGGGGTTCCGGCTCAGCGTCACCTTCCCGGTCCAGCGCCGGCGCAGCCCCGCCGACCCCGAGTCCATCTTTGTCATGAGGGCCGTGGGCATCGGCTTCGGGGTCATCACCGGCGTCTTCTTCCTCGCCCACCTGGGCCGCTGCTGCTGGTGGGCGCTCAGGAAACCGGCCAGGCTGTAGTGCCTCCCCTCCAGGGCGCTCTTGGAAATCTCCGGTGTTCTGACCGGTTCTTCTTGGCTTTCGACTTTTCAAAAGGAAAAATGTTTTTTAGGTCAAGCCTGGTGATTAAATGTCTCTGGTTCTCGGGCTGTTTTGAACTCGCCCATCTCAGCGCAGAGGCAGGAGTTGATGTTTGAGGCAGACAGCACAGGGGCAGCACGGAGCCCTCTCCCAGGCTGGGGCAGTGCAGCTCCTCAGCCTCCTCCAGGCTCCAGGGCCCTCCAGGGAGCCCAGGGTGGCTGCAGGGGACACAATCTGCGCTCAGGAGGATGAGCCAAACACTCGGAGGTGACACGAGGAGCAAAGCCAGGGAAGGGATGTGGCAGGAAGGGACGGAGCTACAGGAAACACTCAGCACCTCCCACACTTGGTGAAGGGGTGAGTAGGACTGTTTGGGTCCCTAAAGGGCAACACACCTGCCCAGAGTCCAAAAGGGCCCACACATGGAGGCAGCCCCAGCCCTGATTCTCCCTCTGGACTTTGCCCCCCAACTCAGCCCCCAGACCTTGCAGAACCCCCAGGGAGGTACCAGCCGAGCCCTTGGTGCTAAGCCCAGGGCTGGTGCAGGCCAGGGGGGACACAGCCACCAACCTGTGGTAGTACTGCTCCCTGCCTTCCCTGATGGATCCCTAAAAATCTTCCAGGAGAACCAAACATGCCTCCCCCATCACCCTATAACACCCCCAGCCCCCCCAGGAACCGCCCCTGCAGGGACTGGAGCTGTCTCACAGGTGCTGGGAGCTGGGCACTGCTCCCGTGTCCGCACCAACACGTGGTTGGTTTGTGGGGAGGCAGAGCCAGCAGCGGGCAGGGCAGGATTCCAGCACAGCTCAGGGATTTGTGGCAGGCAGGAATCCAATACCCACCAATGAGCAGCTGGGAGCTGCTGGAAAAGCATCCAGACACCTGGACTGCTCCCTGCAAGCAGCACCAGGTCCAGGCTGCAGTGACAACCAGAGCCTCTGTGTGCTGGGACTGAAATCCACTGGCAGGTCTGCAGCAGGAGCAGGGGAGCACATGGACAGAGCCCCTGGGGAGCACAGTTCCCAGCTCAGGGCCGAAGGGCACAGCCCTGGCACTGGGGCCAAGGCATCCAGCAGATCCACGTGGCAGCCTGGGGTCACATCTGCTGCCAGTCTGGAGCTGTGCAGGGCCACCCTGGGATGTCAACCCCCCGTGTCCCCAGGACACGCAGCCACTCTCAGTGCCGGTGCAGGCACAGCACAGTTTCAGGCTGGGTGGTTTTTGGGGTGCTGTTGTGTCCCCCCAACCCCCACAGCTCTTTGGGGGCTTCCAAAATAAATCCCAGGCTCCACTGAGCCCCCCCAGCCCAGGAGCTGATGGGGCAGGAGCTCCTGCAAGGATCTGAGGTTCAGCTGGGGGTGCAGCAGTGCAGAGGGAGCCCCAGGCTGGACGAGGCCTGCTCCCACTCCCTCACTGTGCCAACTCTGGCCAGTGACCCCTCAGAACCCCATGAACCCCCTCTGGGCCCCCACAGCCTCCCCTAGGACAGCACTGTCCCCTCTGTGCCCTCTTAGCCCCTCTCACGACCTGACACCCCCTAAAGCCACAGCCTCCCCTATTGCCCTGCACCCCCTTTTGGTTCCTAAAGCCCCTCTCACAGCCCTCCAACCTCTTTGGGCCCCCCCAGCCCCCTCCCACAACCCTGCTCCCCTCTCTGGGCTCCCACAGCAGCTCCCGTGGGAGGAGCTGGGGTTCTGGAGCAGCTCCCAGCTAAGCTGGGCTGGAAAAGGTGACCACGGGTGGCAGGAGCAGCAGCGGGATGTGGGACAGCTCCGGGTGTGCCGCTGTCCCCCGGGAACAGGGGTCACCGGCTCCTCCTGCCCCTTCCCTGCCTGGCAGCGGCTCCTCTCACCTCTGTCCTCTTCCGCCTGGAAGCTTCTCATTAACACTCGCAGCTCGTTTGTCTCATTAAGGGGGGGCCGGGGAGGAGGAGGAGGAGGGGGGAGAGCCCAGCTCTGCCTCCCGCGGCCGCCAGCACTGGCAGCTTCCCGTGCTTTGATCCCGCTGCGTGGGAGCCGGGAGAGGATCAATCCCTGGGGAGCAGCGGGGGCTCACAGAGGACCCCAAAGCCCCCGCTCTGTCTCCCCGTGAGGGGTGGAGGGCCCCTGTCAGCAGGGCTGTCACACAGCGCGTGTCCCCAGGGACGCCACCGTTCTGGCTGGGGACACCAAGCGCCACCGTGGGATGTGTGGGTGCCCCCAAACTGTGGGCAAAGCCCTGCCTGTCGCGGGTGACACCGGCCCAGGACAGCTGGGGGGACACGGGGCTGGCTGGGGACGAGGAGCTTCTGGGCATTCCAGGGGGATGTGGCATCTGCCCCCGTCCCACCAGTCTTGTCTCCAGTGGCTCTGGGGCCTTCCAAATTGCTCCCACAGCCCTTCCCACTGGCCACTGTCGGTGGCCCGGCGAAGGTGGCTCCGGGCCGGCCACGTGTCCCCGTCCCGCAGAGGGCAGGAGCTTTTCCCGGCCATCGGCTGCCACCTGCTGCCAGCAGCAAGGCTGTCCCCATCCCTGTCCCTGTCCCCATCCTTACAGCAGCATCCCAGGGACCCCCCTGCCCCGCAGCTTCACCCCAGCTCCCTCTCCGGGCACCCACCCCGGTGCCCCAAAACACGCCCATCCCCTGCATGGGCTGTCCCCAAGGCCCATCCACGTCCCAGTTTGTGGCCAGGCCGCCGTGGCTGGGAGGGGACAGGGCTGGCGGTGGCCCCGTGCCCGTCCTGGATCCATCCCGCCGTGTTTCCCGGCACTGCCGTGCCTGGCACAAAGGCCCCCTCCAGGCCGGGCCGGGCAGACGCGGCTCCGGCCCCGCACAAAGCCCCTTTCAGCCGCCGGGGAAAGCCCCTGGCACCCGGCCCTGGCTCTCACCGCTCCCTGCCATGGGCCAGCAGGGGCAGAAGGGGCAAAAGATCCCCCAAACTGAGTGTGTGTGTGGATGGTGACATGGTCGTGCACACACAGCTATGGTGGGATGAGTCCCTCTGGATCTGGGATGGGGATGGAAGTCCTGAGTCCTGCCCAGGCTCCAGGGCCACCAGGCAGTGCTCCCACAGACCCAGCTTGTGCTCATGTGTTCATGTGTGTGCCCATGTTTACATGTGTGTCGTGTGTGCATGTGTGTGTGTGCAGCTCTGGGTGTGTCCCGTGTGTGTGTTCACACGTGTTCAGGGGGAGCAGCACACGTGTGTATCTGTGCACACTGTGTGTGCACCCACGTGCACGCCATGTGCGTGCACTGCCCGTGGGCTGCGTGTCTGTGGACACGGACAGACACGTGTGTGCCTCTGCAGGTGTCTGTGTGCACGTGTGTGCCTGTGCGTGTGGATGTGTAGGTGACCCCCCACGTGCATGGCCGGGTCTCACCCGTACACGTGTGCAGATCTCCCCCGCAGCACCCACGGCACCGCACCCAGCCTGGCTCCCACGCCCACCCGCTGGCTGCCCTGTGGGTGAACTTGCCCCCCTAAACCCCGGGGGGAGGGCAGGGGGAGGGCAGGGGGCTGTGCCACGCTGCCCGGGCCGGGTGCCAGGGCACAGACACCCCTGCCCGGCGCCACGGCCTGGTTTGTGCCAGCCCAGCAGCTCCCTGGCCGGCGGCCAGCGCGGGGGTACCCAGCGGGACGGGGGCTCCGGGCTCCATAAAAACCCTCGGCAGGGCACGTCACACCCAGCCCCGGGCATGCAGAACCCGTCCTCCCACAGCCACCGCTTCAGCCCTGCCGCCCCCATGCACCGGGTGCCCCCTGCCAGCCCCCCAGCCCGGCCCCGGGCACCCCGCAGCACCCACCCCGCAGCCAGGCTGGGCTCGGGCACGATGGACTTCTCGCTGGCCACGGCGCTCAACCTGGAGTTCCGGGAGACGCGCACCAGCGAGAGGGTGCAGATGATGGAGCTCAACGACCGCTTCGCCGGCTACATCGAGAAGGTGCGGCTGCTGGAGCAGCAGAACAAGGCGCTGGAGCTGCAGCTGAGCCGGGCGCGGGACCGGGAGCCCTCCCGCCTGGGGGACGTGTACCGGGAGCAGCTGCGGGACCTGCGGAGCCGCGTGGAGCAGTTGGGCACCGCCAAGGCCCGGCTGGAGATCGAGAGGGACAACCTGGCCCAGGACCTCGGCAGCCTCCAGCAGAAGTAAGGCCCTGTCCAGCTGGGGCTGGTTTTGGGGGACCAGGGTGGCCATCAGATCCAAAGTGGCAGCAGGGAGCAGGATGGCCACCGGGACGGTGATCAGGCTCATCCTGGGGACCACGGTGGTGATGGGGATGGTGATGTCATGGGGACCATGGTGGTGGCAAGGAGCAGGGTGACCCCTGGGACCAGGATGGGGACTGGGGGGTACCCAGGGATCAGGGTGACCACAGGAGCAGGGTAGCACTGGAGACCAGGCACTGACGTGCACCAGGCTGGGGGGGGGACCAGGGTGACCCCTGGGAAGATTGTGGGATGGTGGGGGGGTGTAGGATGGGTACAGGCACTGACAGGGGGTTTGGGTGGGTGCTGGTGCTGTGGGGCTGTGTTTGCACAGGTGGGTCTGTCCGTGCAGAGAGTGACAGGTCCCGGTGCTGGAGGGGTCCCGGTGCCACACACGTAACGGTGCCCCTGCTCCGGCACAGGCTGCAGGACGAGGTGACCCTGCGGCTGGAGGCCGAGAGCAACCTGACTGCCTACAGGCAGGTGAGGGCAGGGGACACATCCTGCACTGCAGGGGTTCGGCTCCGTCTTGTCCTCTCCTTGAGATGGGCAGGGATGGGGAGGGGATGGGCAGGAGCAGGCAGTGAGGGACTGGGAGATGTTACAATCGGCAGAGAGGGGCAGGGATAGGGCAGGGATGGGGCAGGGATGGGCAAGGATGGGCAGAAAAGGGGTGGGGATGGGCAGGAGCAGGCAGTGAGGGACTGGGATGTGTTATGATGGGCAGAAAGAGGCAGGAATGGAACAGAGATGGGGTAGGAATGGAACAGAGATGGGGCATGAATGGAGCAGGGATGGGGCATGAATGGAGCAGGGATGGGCAGGAGCAGGGAGTGAGGGACTGGGAGATGTTACAGTGGGCAGAAACAGGCAGGGCTGGGCGGGAGAGGGCAGGAATGGACTGGGCCAGGCAGCTCAGGAGGGAGCAGACTCAGGGGGGCCCAGCCTGGGACTGTCCCTCGTGTCCCCCCACGGTGACAGGACGTGGACAACGCCACCTTGGCTCGCCTGGACCTGGAGCGGCGCGTGGGGACCCTGCAGGACGAGATCGCCTTCCTGTGCAAGGTCCACGAGGAGGTAACCCTGCCCAGGGGGAGCTGGGGGGTGCTGGGGCTTGGGGGGGGCTGTGCTGACCCCCTGTTCCCCCCAGGAGCTGCGGGAGCTGCAGGAGCAGCTGTCCCAGCAGCGGGTGCAGGTGGAGGTGGACGCCAGCAAGCCCGACCTGACAGCCGCCCTGCGCCACATCCGCAGCCAGTACGAGGCCGTGGCTGCCAGCAACGCCCAGGAGGCAGAGCAGTGGTACAAGTCCAAGGTGCAGAGCCAGCTGGTGGCCCCATGGAGGGGTGCCCTGGCTGTGTCCCCCCTGGAATGTCACCTGCTGGAGGCTGCGGTTGCTCACCCGTGGTTGGGTGGCGGGGAGGGGGTTTGGGATCTCCAAAACCGTGTCAGGGATGTTCCTCCGTGTTCCCGGGGCTGTGTCCCTCCTGTGGAGCACGGCAGGGTCGCGTCCCCAGGCCGTGTGCCAGCAGGACACACCCCAGTGTGTGGTGCCATGCCATGGCACGTGTCCCTGTCCCAGCTTCGAGGACCTGACGGATGCGGCCGCCCGGCAAAGCGAGGCCCTGCGCGCCGCCAAGCACGAGGCCAACGAGTACCGGCGCCAGCTGCAGGCGCTCACCTGCGACCTGCAGGCCCTCAGGGGCTCGGTAGGTGATGGCCATGAGGGGCAAGAGGGGGGACACGGCCTTGGGGAGCTGCCACCACCACGGGAACCCCAGTGGGACACCACCCAGTGCTGGGGAACGGCGGCTCCTCAGGGGTGGGAGACGGGCACGGGGATGAGCCCCCAGCTCCTGGGAGAAGGTGGCCATGGAGGGCGTCACAGCCCCTCGTGGCCCCCCAGAACGAGTCCCTGCAGAGGCAGCTGCGGGAGCTGGAGGAGCGCCACGCCCTGGAGACGGCCGGCTACTGGGACACGGTGGCACGGCTGGAGGAGGACACCCAGAGCCTCAAGGAGGAGATGGCCCGGCACCTGCAGGACTACCAGGACCTGCTCAACGTCAAGCTGGCCCTGGACATGGAGATCGCCACGTACCGCAAGCTGCTGGAGGGCGAGGAGAGCAGGTGATGGCACTGCAGGGGCTCCGAGTCCTCGTGGTCCCTCGGGGGTCCCATCCTCCAGCCCCCTGCCCCAGCCCCGGGCAGGTGGAGCTGGGGGGCAGCAGGACCCCCTGCTCTTCCCAACGGCCCCGTTGGTCCTGCAGGATCACCATCCCCGTGCAGAGCTTCTCCAACCCGCAGGTCCGAGGTGAGGCTGTGGGGTGGGGGGTGGGGGCAGGATGGTGGCATGAGCAGGGGTGGTTTCTGGGGGCTCTGTGGCAGGAGATGCCGCCCAGGCCATCCCTGCCCCATCCAGAGGGACTGGGAAGTTTTTCTCTGAATCTCAAGGAACCAGGGCTCCTGGTTCTCCCAGGATGAGGGGACGAGGGTGCCAACCATGTCCCTGAGGCCAACACTGTCCCTGAGGCTGGTCGTGTCCCCAGGGCCACTGCCTCCCAAGGTTCAGGGTTTTCCAGCCCAATCCATTTACTTTGGGCCTCTCCACCTGGTCGTGGCTGGAAGGGCCACACCCTGGCCATGGTGTCACTGCCTTGTCCTGGCCTTGTCCCCCAGACACCAGCCTGGCCACCAAATCCGTGCCAGAAGCCCACGTGAAGAGGAGCATCGTGGTCAAGACCGTGGAGACCCGAGGTGGAGAGGTGGGAAATCCTCATCCTCGTCACCCACGCTCCACCCCCACCTCCCCACGGGCTGTCCCCCAGAAACCTGTGCGTGGGGCCACCATCCCTGAGCCCCAGGAGCAGCCCGGGCAGGGAGTGATCCCAGTGATCCCCAAGAGCACGGCCTGGCTGAGCCTGGCAGCTCACAAAGAACACAGCTCCCTGTCACCTGTGTCCCCATCCCTATTCCCGTCCCCACCCTCGTTCAGAGCCCCGGCAGGCTCAGCCGGGAGCGGAGCCTGAGCCTGGCGTGATGGTCCCTCCCTCCCCCGGCTCCAGGTGCTCAAGGAGCCCAAGCAGGAGCACCAGGAGATGCCGTAGGGCGGAGGATCCGGAGCTCCGCAGGGCCCGCCCGACGCTGCGAGGGAGCCCCGTGGGCGGGCACAGGGGACGGGAGGAGCCGGCGGTGCCTCGGGTGGGGCATCTCCCTCCGCCGCACCCCTCGCCTCTCCCACCTCACCCCGTGCCCAGGGACCCCTGGCAGCCCGTTTGGGGCTGGCAGGGAGCGGGCACTGTGTGGGGCGGGGCTGGGCAGCGCCCGGGATGGGGGGTGAGGAGATCCGGGCAGAGCCAAACTCCCCCACGGGATCCCGCCACGTTCCCACGGCACGGGGTGCCGGCGGTTTTGGGGCTGTTCCAGCCTCGCCCCGGGTCTCCAGCTGTGCCAATGGAGAGGGTCCATCCTGTTTGGATCTCCGTGCACCGGGTTGGATGAGATGGTGGAGCCAAGAGCATCTTCCTGCACCCACCTTGCTGCCCTCTCTGGTCTGGGAGACCCCCTGGGTCTCCCCAGCGCACCCTGACCCCCAGCACCCTTGGGTGGGGGGCTGCAGAGTGCAGGGCACCCGCTGGAGAGGGACAGGGGTCGCTGAGCTCAGCTGAGAGGCAGGGGCAGGAAAGTGGGGAGGATGGGGAGGCAGGGGAGGAGGAAGAGGACAGTGGAGAAGCAAGATGCTCTCAGGATGGTGTCAGAGGGTGATGAAATGGGGATCAGGAGGGGCTCCTGGGGGTGTCCAGGGTGGTTTGTGGGGGCAGAGTGGGCTGGGTGGCCTCAAGAGCTTCTCCTGGCACGGAGCCATGGCCCTGTCCTGACCCCCACACCGGGTGTCTGCCACCAGGGTGTCCCCAACACTGAGACCTGAGGGGCTCGTGGTGAGTGTGACCCCTGGCCCTGCACCTGGGGGTCCCACACAGGGGAAAATGGAGAGAAAGGGGGTGCAGAGGAGGAGGAAGATGTTGGGGGCTCTCACAGATGGAGCCATCCGTCCTGCCTGTCCCACCCGGGCTCACACTGTGGAGATCCCTTGTCCCAGATCCTGTCCCCTCCCCCAGACCAGCACACACCCGGCAGGGCCATCGCCCAGCCCCACTCCCACCTTCACTGCAGCCACTGACCACGAGCAGAGCCTTCCCTGACATCACCTGACACGGGAGCAACAACCCAGCAGCACCTCCTGTGCCCTGCCAGCCCCCAAAGACACATCCCTGTCCTTGGATCCACCCCCTCATCCCTCTGTCCCCCTCATCCCTCTGTCCCCCTCGTCCCCCAGCTCAGCTTTGCTTTGCTCCAGCTCCAGAAAGGCCATTCCCGAGGCAGGAGATGTTAGAGGAGCCCAGGGTGGTGCCCAGGGTGGGAACCCAGGGGGAATGCAGTGTGGCCCCCACGAGCAGCCTCCCTTGTGATTAATTTACACACTAACGCCTGTCGCAGCTCGGGGGGAGCAATAAAGCTACTGAACACTCTGCTCGTGCCTGAATCCACCTCTCTGCAGCCAAGCCACGGGGTTTGGGGGTTATCTGGGTCCTTGGGGGACCCAAGGAGCTCAGTGCTGTGTGGGGATGTGCTCAGGGCTGAGCCCCACAGCAGGACACGCTGCAGGGACCAACACCCACGAGGGACCGAACACGGAGAGGGGAGCAGGGATAACACCCTGAGCTGAGCCAGGCAGGGGGGTGGGACAGACCCCCTTCCCAGGAGGGGAACAGGGATCTGCTCGGGCTTCTCCACCCTCCCAGGAAGCTCCTGGGGGGATCCTCTGCAGCTGTTGGGGCTGAGGATGGATTTGGGATCCTGCACATCATCGACACGGTTCAAGTGCCAGGGCATCGTTGGGACCCTCAGTGCCCTCCTGGGCAGTGACTGTTGTCTTGGGAATGCTGCAATCCCCAAGCCACATCCTTGGGAAAAGGGGATGAGCCCAGTGGGGATGTCCTGCTCCACACTGAGGAATGTGTGGCCACCAAAACCCTGCAGAGATGCCACCACCTTTGGGGGATGCACAAAATAACACTGGCACCAACATTGACTCCCGGCTCTGTGCTGAGTTCTGTGAGTTAAAAACCCTCAAAAATCAGACAAATTTCTGAAGAAAATCACCTGATTAATTTGAAAAATATTTTTTGTCTTTCAAAAACAAGCAAACAAAATGTTTAACCCAAAATTTAGTTTACAATTCAGCTTGCTCCAGCTAAGGAGCTCAAAGGAACATTGAGGTGTTTGGGATGCTGGGACTCACAGTTCTCAGCAAGAAAAACAAGTTAAATAAGGGAAAAAAGGGTGAGAAAAGCAACTATTAATTGATTTTAAATAGTTTGGTGGATCTTTTTTATCAACCTTTTAGGAAAACAACTCTAATAAATCACCGATGCGGATCAAGAACTCTGCAGAGCTTGGCCAGAACATCTCGCACCAGCTCCAAGTTTTCACTGGAATAAAAAGGACTTTATTGAGCTTAAACCCCCAGTGCCAGCCAGGAATACATCCTGGCACTGTGAAATCCCGCCAGGAACAAATCCTGGCGGCGTGAAATCCCACCTGGAACAAATCCTCGCGGTGTGAAATCCCGCCTGTCCCCACTAAGCTGTCCCAAAACAAGGAGTTTCCCACATCAGTCCTGCTCTTGCCCGAGGGGAGGGTGAGCAGGGCCTGGCAGAGATCGATTGCTGGTGGCCAGAGCATTGGAAATTTCCAAAGGGAGGATGATCCAAGTGCCCTGTGGGGGATGCTCCAGCCTGGGCGGGTTCCTGAGTGCCCACCAGCAGCGGCAGCCCAGGGGGGTGAGGATGAAGATATGATGATGATGATGATGAAGCCCATGTTTGATTCCCAAAGCCAGGCCTCAGGGAGGGATCCTGTCTCTTCTGAGCCTCTCTTGCCCCCTCAGCTGAGCTGGAAATGCTTCATCAGCTCCACCACCGCCCTTTCCTCCTCGCCTTCCTTTTCCAAGGGGGTGTCCACGGGCTGGGGTTCCCTCCCTGCCTCCTGGCCCGGCTCTCCAGCAGCCCAGCCCTCCCTGCTCAGGCCCTGCAGCTTCCTGAACAATTCCCTGCCGCTCTCCTTCTCCTCCTGGCTCAGCAGCTCCAGGTTCAGCCCCAGGCGCCCGGTGCCCGCCAGGCCCCGCAGGACGCCCAGCACGGCATTCCTGTCGGCAGGCTGGAAGTTCTCCGCCAGCACCCTCAGGAATTCCCCCAGGAGCCCAAAGCCCACGTCAGCCCGGAAGATCCTGCCCAAGGCGTCCCCTCCCAGCTCCAGCAGGAACTGGTACCGCTCCGTGCCGCTCCTCAGGCACCGGCGCCAATCCCTGTGGAATTCTGCGGCCGTTCCCGGCAGCTGAGCCAGCTCCTGAGGGAAAGAGGAGTCACTCAGCTCCTTTTGCTTTGCTCCCCCTCGAAGACTGTGGTGCCCCCCGCCCCGAGCAGCCCCAGGTGTTTCTCAGGGGGGCTTTGGCGGCACAAGGAGCTGCTGAGGGGGAAAATGAGCCCCGATCCCAGAGAGATCCGGGAATTCCAGGGGGAGAAGGGAAAGGTGGATGAGATGTGACCCCTGGTGTGAACACAGACGGCTGTGGGGTGATCCCAACCCCAACCAGACCTGCTGTGCAGCCCTGACCATGAACAGGTGAATGAAATCCAGCATCACCAACAATCCACAGGAAAGATCCATGGGAAACATCCCAGGCTCACTCCAGCACGGGCAGAGGCCATGAGAGGGGCCGGACTGAGGTCACTCCAATCAGAGGACCCAGGTAGGAAATGTCCCATCCCTGTTTCCTGAAGGAATCAGGAGCATGCCATGAGTCAGATAGCAGGATCAGGGATCAGGACCAGGCAGCAGGATCAGTGATCAGGACCAGGCAGCAGGATTAGGGATCAGGACCAGGCAGCAGGATTAACCCACACCAGCCCTTTTCCACGCTGGGGATAATAAACTGTGTCCAGTGACAGGATGAGGAGCAGTGGCATAAACCAAAAGTTCCACTTCAACATGAGGGACTTCTTTCCATGGAGGTGGCAGAGCCCTGGAACAGCTGCCCAGGGAGGGTGTGGAGTCATTCCAAACCCACCTGGACACGTTCCTGTGTCACCTGCTGCAGGTGACCCTGCCTTGGCAGGGGGGTTGGGCTGGGTGATCCCCGAATTCCCTTCCAACCCCAGGTTCTGGGATTCTGAGGAAGCACTGGCTGTGCCCAGGGAATCTCTGCAGCCAGAGGCTGTTCCAGGGAGGATGCTGATGCACATCTCTGGACTGCAGCAGTTTGGGCTGGGAGGGCTCTGCTCCCCCAGTGTCCCTGGACACCACGGGAGGCACTGGGAGCTCTGGGCCCAGGCTGTGCAGCCCCCATTCCCACCGGGATGGAGCCCACTTTTCCTGAGGGGGATCCTGTGGGGATGCAAACCCCGCTGTTCCAGGGTCTGGGGAGGCTGGCTCACAGTCCCTGAGTAACTCCCACATTCCAGCTAACACCCAGATCATTCCCAAGCCATTTCCAGCTGGGGAGGAGGCCCTGGAGTCTCCCCCTCACCTGTGGGATCTCCTCAGTGTGGGCAGGCAGTGCCTTGGCTGGGGCTGCACAGGGATTCCACAGCACATTCCTCCTCTGCCCCAGCCTGTCCTTCTTCTCCAGGGGCTTCAGGTGTGAGGCCAGCACGATGTTCCTGCAGGGAACAGGGATGGGAGGGACAGGGGGCAAGAGAAAATGCTCTGAGGCTTCGAGCTGCTTCCAGTCAGAGGGGCTGGACAGGCTGGAGGAGCGGGGCCTCATCAACACAGGGATAAACCAGCTTAAAATCCCCTGGGAATCCTGTGATGGGGACTGGTAAGATGTTTGGGGTAGGAAAAGCCACTTTGAAATGTTTTCCTGCCTCTCAGGCATCAGGCAGTGACTGAGTGCAGGTGAATCCATGAATGGAATTTGATCTGGTCCTTAAAAGTGCGGTCAAAACCCTGGATCCACCTGTGGGTGTCAAGGGACAGGGGTCACCAGAGAGATCTCTGTGGGATCCAGGACTTCAGTGGGGTCTGGGAGTCCCACATGGTTCTGTAGGACACCCATGGTGTTGATGGGCACTGGAAGTCCCTGCTGGACATGCAGGTGGATCCAGGAGTTTGGTGGGCACTGGGATTGCCTGGCACTGCTCCCTGTGCAGCAGCCCTGCCATCCCAACATGACCCCAACCCAGTGACGGGATTGGGAGCAGGGACAGCAGGGACAGAGGACAGGGTTCACAACACTCCTGTCACAACCCTCTGCCTCTGCAGCCCCTGCAGGGCCGGGGGGTGTGGGGAGAGAAGGGGGCTTGGAGTGGGAATGGGGACATGGAACAGTGTCCTGGAGAGGGGACAGCCCCTCCCCAGGGCTGGGCCACGACCGGGCACCAGAGGGACCAGTCCCGGAGCAGGGACCGAGCTCGGCCCACACGGGGCCACCCGAGATTTGGGGACAAATCTGAACCACAACCGAGTGTCCTCGGGGCCGGGGCCATTCCCGGGATCCCGGGACTGCTGCCCAGCCGCTCCTGCCTCGGGCTCCTCCCGGAGGCCCCCAGGGCGAGCTCCCCCCGCACCTGAAGTCGCGATAGTCGGGGACGCGCTGTCGCAGCGCCCTCAGCTTGGCCTCGCCCTCCCGCTGCCTCCGCTCGTCCTCGGCCAGCGCCGCCCGCAGCTCCCGCTGCAGGGCCGGGAGAGCCGCGCCGGGATCCAGCCCGGGCTCCATCCCGGGACCACGGGCACCGCGCACGGGGCCCTGCTGTCGCGACAGCCCTGGGGGGATGGCCTAGGGCACCCCGCTATCGCGACAGCCCTGCTGGGGATGGTCTGAGCGACCCCACTCGTGTCACAACAGCCCTGCCGGGACTGGCCCCGCGCACCCCGCTCTTATCGCGACAGTCCGGCCCTGGGGACTCCACTCCCACTGCGAGTGAGCCCTAAAGGCTATGCACGTGGGCGGCAACGGGGAAAGCTCCGCTCCTATCGCGACAGGTCCTGGTACAACTGCGGCCCCGGGGCCCCTCACTGTCGTGACAGCCCAGCTAGGTGCCAAAGTCCCCTGTCCCCAGGGCCGCTCTATCACGACAGCTCCGCTGGATGCCGAGCCCCCATGGCCCCAGGGCCACTCTATCGCGACAGCCCCGCTGGGTGGCGAGCCCCAGGGCCGCTCTATCGCGACAGTCCCAACCCCGCCGCGGTCCCGCTCCCGCCTCCACAGCGACGGAACCACCCGAGGTCCCGCCGAGGCTGCCCCAGCCGCGCCTGACAGACCCGGCCCCGCCGCCCCGCGCGGCCCCGCCCGGCCCGCGGCTCCCGGACCCGCCGGGACCGAGACCGAACCGAACCGAACCGGGCCCGACCCCGGCGCTTCCCCCGCGGGCGCGGCGCTGCCGGAGGGCGCGGGAGGCTCAGTCGGGACAGGCGGCGGGGGCAGCCCGGGGGGCCTTCGGTAGCGGCGGCGCCGGCGAGAGCGGGACCAGGACAGGTGAGGGGAGAGAGAGAGGGAAAGGAACGGCAAAGGAGCAGGAACGGGAAGGGGGAGGGTGAGGGAGAGAGACGGGAAGGCCCGGAGCGGGGGGCTCGGGGGGTACGGGAGCGGGCCGGAGCGGGGTCAGGGGCAGCCCCTGCGGGGGGGGCCCTGCCGGGGTGGGCACTCGGTCACGGCCCCCTCGCCCCCAGCATGGACACCGACCTGTACGACGAGTTCGGGAACTACATCGGGCCCGAGCTGGACTCGGACGATGACGATGACGAGCTGGGCCGGGAGGCCAAGGATCTGGATGAGGTGAGGGGGGGATGGCAGCGACTCCCGGGGCCGGCCCGGGTTCCCTGTCCCTCTCGGGGTCTGCTCGGGAGCTGAGGCTGCAGCAGGAGCCAGATCCCCCCGGGAGGAGGCAGAGAGAGACCCCAGGGCCGCCAGGGGGGCAGGAGGAGGGTGGGGGGAGCAAAGGGGCTGAGCCACAGGGGGTGGAATGAGGGGGTAATTCCCATCTCCCGTGGGTCTGTGTGGGGTGGGGGTGGGCTGCGCTGTGTGTGAGGAGTCCCTGCAAGGCCATTCATTTCCCTGAGGAAGGGCCGTGCTGCTCTCCCAGGAGCTGCTCCCGGGGGCACCCCCGTGGGGGGCTGGGGGTGCCTGGCTGGGGCTGAGCTGAGGGAGGGCCCCGTTGGCAGCTGGAGGACGACGATGACGACGACGAGCTGGGCGAGCACGACGAGGAGCACCCCGGCATGGAGGTGGTGCTGCACGAGGACAAGAAGTACTACCCCACTGCTGAGGAGGTGTACGGGCCAGAGGTGGAGACCATCGTGCAGGAGGAGGACACACAGCCCCTCACAGGTGAGGGGGAGGGAGGGAAGTGCCCCAGGAACGCACACACACTTTGTTTGTCTGGGGGTGTGGGCGGGTTTGGGCGCTCGGGGTCGTTCCAAATCCCCAAACAGAAAAGCAGGGATCAGCAAGGACTTGGAAGGTGTTTAAGGAGAAGTTTAATATATTTAAGTCATCTCCTCTGATCCCTCTGCATCCCTCTAGAATATTCCTGTTGGGTATTTCTTTATCAGCTGCTCTGATAAAGAGAACCTGTCAGCTGGAAAACTGAGGGGTTGGTGGCAAAACTCCCCATTCCTGGGGGTTGTTCCTGGTCTGGGGGCTCTGGGTGCAGCTTGTTGTGCTTTCCTTTGTTTCAGAGCCCATCATTAAACCTGTGAAGACCAAGAAGTTCTCCCTGATGGAGCAGACGCTGCCAGTCACTGTCTATGAGATGGAGTGAGTGCTGGGGGGGGAGTCAGCTCAAACTGTCACCTCTGCTGGTCCCCCCTGCCCTGGGGGAGCCCTGGGGGAGGCTGGGAGGGGTAGCAGATTTTTGGGGGGGCTCTGGCTGGCCCCAGCACAGAACTGAGAGCAGCTGCTGCCCAGGTTCTGAACCAAAAACCAGAGGAAGGAAGTGCAGGAATGACCATTTCCCAGACTGCAGGGCTTGGACACAGAATGGGAATCTCATCTCGAGGGTTGAGATGAGGTTTCATAACCAGAGCTTCGTGTAGCTCAGGAAATACTTATGGAACGGTTTGGCATGGAAGGGACCTTAAAGCCCATCCAGTGCCACCCCTGCCATGGCAGGGACACCTTCCACCAGCCCCGTCCAACCTGGCCTTGGACACTTCCAGGGATGCAGGGGCAGCCACAGCTCCTCTGGGCAACCTGGTAAATATTCATGGGGCACACATCATATTGGGACATTTGGGGTTGATCCCAGTCTCAAATCAGATCCCATCTATCCTGGAGGAGCTCCCACTGGGAATTTTTATGCTGCAGAGCTCTGTGCAGGTCAGCAGGACCGTGGGCCTGGTGGGGCCTGCTGGTTGTCCCCCAGAGCAGCTCCTGGGACACCAGGACTGGGAGGAAACCTCTGGAAAGAAAAATAATTCAAACTAACTTAAAGATAACATCTCACACAAGTTTGCTGTGGAACAAAAGCCATAATTATATATATAAATATATAACTCCTATTAAAAATCTGATCTTGGCATCAGCGTTTTTCAGGCTGTGGTGGGCGGAGGGTCTGTGTCCCTGCTGTGCTCTGTGTGTGTGTGTGTGTGTGTGTGTGCTGTCCCTGTTTGGGATGAGCAGATGGAGCTGTGGGAGTGTCCTTGGGCTCATCTCTCCATGTGCCACCTCATGGCCAGTCAGAGCTTTCCCCGGTTTTTGACGGTGTGGATCCCGGAACCAGCCCCGGTGTGAGCAGTCCCTCTGCCTGGCATCCAGCAGCCTCCTGATTTCCAGAGGGAACAGGGTGTTCCTGGAGCTGGTGCTCCCTCAGGGATTCCCAGGGCTGTTTTGGGAGGGTCCATCCCTGCTGTTTTCGCTGCCCAGTGGGGTTCAGCAGAACCAGAGCAGAGCCCCAGAGCTGCTGGGGCTGGTTTTCCTCAGCAGTTCCTTTGGCTCAGTCCTTATCCACTGATTCCCTGCTCCCTGTGTGCTGTGTTCATCCCATTTGTAATTAATTCCTTTTGGTCCTGTTTGTTGATATAAATGGTTGGGATTAGGGCCCAGAGAAATTCCTTGTGGGACGTTGCCAGAGACCTGCGAGCTGGGCATCGATTTCCCATTCAGCCTTGTTTTCTGACCAATTAGCAAGCTTTTAATCAGGGTTAGTATTGATTTCGGTATTTTTTAGCTCTTAATCGAAATGTTGTACATTAAGAAGTCTACTGCATCAGTGAAAACTTAATCTGTTTAAGAAGGGGATGATTTGACAGCACTTAACTCTCTGCAGGCCTGTGGCAGTGGCTGCGTGTTTTATGGCCTCCCATTATTTTGTAGGGGTGGCAATTTAGGTTCTCAATTATCTTTTGGCCAGGATCCCTGCAGAAGTGACTTGGCCCATCATTACCCAGCTCGGTTGCAGGTTCCAAAATGACTTAAATTCCGTTGCTGTTTCCTTGAGTCCCTGGAACGTCGCTGTTTTGAGACCCGAAAATCAGAATTAATGGTCTGTGGACCCCCCTGGCTGCTTCCAAAGCTCTGTGGGGTGCTTGTTATCCAGCACGGTGATTTACTTGACTGCCTGCCACGGTTTGAGTGGAAGTGCTTCATCATCCGAGTGCATGGATGTGACTTTTGCTCCAGCACTGACTGGAAGGGAAGAAAAATATTCAATAATATTCCATCGCTGGCAGCTTTGCCGGCTCCGTATCCTCCCACCCACTGCCATCTGTCTGGGACTCCAACTCTCCTGTCCTCCCCATCTGGGAAGTGGGATTCTTCCCCTGCAGGGCACCGGCAGGGTGGAAGTTTGGCGAGGATTCAGGGGGCACCTTGGATGGGAAGCGTGGCTGAGGCGGCACCTGCTTTATTCTTAGCCACGGCAGGAGCCTCCAACAGTCTTTTGTGTTTTGTTCCCCCCCAGTTTCCTGGCAGATCTCATGGACAACTCGGAGCTGATCCGGAACGTGACGCTGTGTGGGCACCTGCACCACGGCAAGGTAGTGGGAATGTCCAGAGTGTGCTGATGGTGATGGTGACCTCTCTGTTCCTTGCTTTGCCATCTCTCCATAGCACCACCTTCTGCTCCTCTGGCTGATTCCCTTATAGGGTCTGGGAATGGTTTGGATGGGAAGGACCCCAAAGTCCACCCAGTGCCACCCCCTGCCATGGGCAGGGACACCTTCCACCAGCCCAGGGTGCTCCAAGCCCTGTCCAACCTGGCCTTGGACACTCCCAGGGATCCAGGGACAGCCACAGCTTCTCTGGGAAATCCATTCCAGCCCCTCCCCACCCTCCCAGGGAAGGATTCCTTCCTGATATCCCATCCAACCCAACCCTTCTTCAGCTTAAAGCCACTCCCCCTTGTCCCGTCCCTCCAGGCCCGTGTGAAATTTGTGGGTTTTCTCGTGGGTTGGATCTGTAGGTTTTACAATAACGTGCCCAGGGTTCTCTGTGCTGCTGCAGGAGGGCTGGGGTTGTGTTTGCCCCTGCCTGAGTGGAGTCACCTCCTTTCCCTGCCCTTTCCCAGACGTGTTTTGTCGACTGCCTGATAGAGCAGACGCACCCGGAGATCCGGAAGCGCTACGACCAGGACGTGAGTGAGCCCCTGCCCTGTCTCTGCCCTGCCCTGGGAACGTGGATGGGGGGGCTTTTACACCCTAAGGGAGGCTTTTGCATCCCCTGTGTCCTGCTTCAGATTTGAGACCAAAATGGGGTGTCCTGACTCTTGTTTTGCCTTTGCAGCTCTGCTACACTGATATATTGTTCACAGAGCAGGAGGTGAGTTGTCTTGCAGTGATTTTATCCAGTTGTCTCATGCTTTACTCAGTTACAGTAGGCAGTTTTCTTGGCCTTTTTGTGCTTTCCACCTTTTGGTGATTTCCTTTATCTGCTCCTCTTGTTTGCCTCAGTAGGCTGCCTGGTCCAGCTTTCTTCCATTTCCCACAACCCTCCTCTCCACGGATGATTTTTGAGCTGTGTAATGCTAAACCTACAGCAGAGTCACCCCAGCATGTGGGTAA